CCCCCAAAACCCCAAAACCCCAAAACCCCTAATGGAGACATATAATTTGAAATTTATATATTAATTTTATGAATATGGATAACATAGGAGTACACCCTCACCATCTTCCAGACTTTACCTCCAAAGTTCTTGGTGTCATGCAGAGCAAAGGAGTCCGTAGAAATATACTTGTTGAGTTAAAGCATGATCAGGGATTTTATAAATTTTGTTCAGAATGGATATCTCAAAGATGGGACTTAGAAGATATTGGTCATAATGTTTCAACCAAAGACCTTATTTTTGAGTTGAGGAATAAAATTAAATCACAGGAGCAATTGATAGATGAATGGAGGATGCCTCATCTACAAGATGTTGAAAAATCTTTATTATTAAAATCTAAAGTATTAAAGCAAGATCTTCTTACAATCAAAACGATAAATATATGAGGATTAAATAATAAGTTTATTGCAGGACCAGATTTATTATTTAACCCTCAATTGCATAACCATTGGAAGCTTGGCAAATGAGTGTATTTTCAATATCCAAGTTGAACTGGAGTTAAGTTGATCTTTTCACAAAAATATGGAAGGAAAGCTCATAGCTTCTTCAAAAATTTATTTCCAAGACTAACTCAATGGCTCAAGCTATTTTCACGGAACCGAATAGATAATCAAGCATCATTAAGAAACATTGGAAATTGGTTAACTCAGGTTGAAAAAATTGCTTTTAGAGTGACTACCGATATTCATTTCGAAGGATTTTTAATTAATAGAAGACAACTCAAAAGAATTTTTGGGTTTTCAGCAAATAAAAAAAGTCTCTCACTAATCAATTGTAAGATTGAGTTAGATATTGTTCCAGATTCTGCAATGGCTTTCAAGAACTGTACAATCCAGATATTAAATATTGACTTGCACTGGAGTAATTTAAATCAAACCCATCTAGTAAGGCTGGAGCATTTTCAAAATCTTATTAATGGATTATCACAATCAGAAGATTTGAAAGAGAGTCTTCAAGAACTATATTTTTCTAATACTGGCCTGGCAGATAGCATTGTTTCAGACATAATAGAAGTAAATCAATTCTCACAATGTCAATCTTATGATATATAATTCCATTATTGCGATCTTCAAAGTTTCAAAACTATTTGTCCACTAAACTGTTAAACTCGCTCACAAATTAAAATGGGGAGTAATTATAGAAAATTTATGTTTCTAGTTTTAACAACACCTATCCTGTACTTGATCTCCTCATAAAGTTGCTGAAAGTTCTAGAACAAAAAATAGTTACCTTAAAACAGACCTTAGTGTGCAATGCTTCAAGAAATTCCCCCTATATTCGTTGATAATCAAGCCTTTTTGAGTTTTGTTCAAATTCGGTGAGCAAACTTTAGTTTAAAATAATATAAAGAGTATTTGAGACTTAATGAACTGCAGAAGATGTTTGGTTTTAAACTCCAAAGTGTTATTGAACTGCAAATCAAAAGGTGTAAGAATATACAGTTGTTCAATTCTAAAGTTTATTAGTTAATAATATGTTTCTTATTAATGTTAATTAATTTGCAGCAATACTTTATAAAAGGAGTCTTGTTATTCCAACAGATATATTATTTGGAATTGTTAAATTATTATCACAATTAGTATGTCTTTGCATTTAGTATTCTTCTTAAAAATTAGATTTTAATAGTCTTTTTAAGAAATATTATTGAACCAATGAGGTTGTGTTTTATTGAATTTGTTTCTATTACATTCTTATACAGTGGGGTTTTGGGGTTTTGGGGTTTTGGGG